TGCCTTTTGTTTTAAGCTGATTTTCACAAGACTTTTCTTGACCCTCTCATGCTACTTTCCAGAGGATAGAGTAGAAATGCTAGTATTTCTCTCCACTGTGGAATACCACATTTTAGAAACGTTTGGGGCTTTTCTTCTATTTTTTTTTTTAATCTTTTTCCTATGTTTTACTGGGCCATCATGTCATGAGACAATTTGCTCCTCCGAATTTTTACAACTCAGAATTTTGCCCTCTTAACCCTATACTCCCTGTCTAAGGAATAAAAGAAGGTCAATTATAGCTTTGTTGGAAAGAAGTGAGAGTGCTAGGCTATGGAAACCAGGTAAGGTGATGTATTGAAGAGCTGTAGTATTTGTTGTACCTAAGCTGAAGGTTTTTTAGATCTCTCCAAGTATCCTCAGTGGTGTTTAACTCTCTGCTGTGCCTTACAGATAACAGACACTTACACTGCGTGAAAATTTCCCTGGTGCTCCAAAGTGCAGCTTTTACTGACATTTACTTTTGTCCCTCATTGATTCATGCATCCTATTTCCAGTTCTGTAGCCATCACTTTTTATCACTTTCCATCTTTGCTCTTCATTCCAGAAACTCAGTAAGATACTTTTATTTATTATCAGTTGGATAATTGGATTCAAAGTTCCAACATATTTAGATTTTTTTCTGCTTCTTAGGTTGTTGATTAATAAAAGAAACCATCACCTCAACTTCTGTTTAAAAACTTGATGGACCTTTGCAGGGGTTAAATGCTTTTTTCCAAATTTAAGGCTTCCCATGTAAATCACCCTCCTAACATTCACAGGAAGCCTGGAAGACACTTGGTTACTTTTCACAGGACCATTAGGTCTGATGAACTCATTATCCTACTTACAGGAGGCAAATCACTCTGTCTTGAAAGCTTTTATTAGGTTTAGTGTTTGAAGCATGGGCAGTGTGCTCCTGACGTGTACAATTACCAGGAGAAAGTGGTCTCTCCTTTGCTTTGGAATTAGAGTTCAGGGTATATATAGCTCAGAGTGGTACCTGAAGTCTCAAAGCTCTTCCATTATTCCTTTAATACTGTCTGAGAGAGAGAGAGGAACATGTTGATAATTCTTACCTGTGGAAACTGCAAATGCTGAATGAGATTCATTCAACTCTCAGCCTTTGTCTGGCTTTAAGTCCTGGTGAGAAAGGGAGGGTTTGTGAGATAGAGCTGCTTAGCTGTAGCCATTTAACTCAAGAGATACCATCTTTAATTCTGCAGTGGTCTATTGTTCAGAGGTCTTTACCATAACAGAACAAAAATCTACAAACCAAGTAAATTAACCTCAAACTTCTTGTAATCTTCTGTGAGCTAAAAATACAAGGATGCTTGAAAGCTCTCAAACATGGAAGGGCTGAAGTGAAACTGTTGTCTTCTGTTTGTTTTTAACCTTCAAAGACCAGCTGAGGAAGCACTGGTTGTATGTAAAGTTCACTGTGAGCATTTAGTACCAGACTCCAAAGTCATTCTTCATGTCTAGAAATTCAATGTACCAGATGCTTCTCTATAATAATTTCTACTTAAAAGAGTTTCTGGATTATTTTAAATTCTGAAATACAAACCTAGCTGCCCAAACTAAAGAATAGTTCCAAATGGCTTAGAATAGCTTGTGATGCAGATCCATTAAAACTAACAGCTTGGAATTTTGTTGATATAATTGTTAATAACTTCCTTTGAATTACTGCTTTTTTTTTTTTTTTTTTTTTTTTTTTTTTTTTTTTGCCAAAAACTGTCTGAATGCTGTCATTATACAGAAAGAGCTAAAACTTCTTTGTTGACAGAAGCCTTTACTATCCATAACTTCCAAGATTTCCTGCTTAAGTGATATGCAGAACCAAGACCCCTGAATATGCCTTTGAAAGATCTGTACTTCTGAAATAAGGAATTCAGATGCATTTAGGTACATTCTTTTCTAGAAAATGGATTAATAGTACCACCAAGATCACTGTACATCATTTTAATAAGTACAGCTTTCTGGGACAATCCGTGCCTCTATATGAGGCTGTGAGGCATAGTACTGTGGAGAAAACCAAGACATTCTTGATTACTAAGTAAATTGCATATTAATTACATGCAGAATGGAACCTTTCATGTTGTATCCGTACTAATTATGTCATATGGGTTTTCTAGAATAAGACTTGTTTGAGGGAGAAGCAGTTCACATAATATTTTATTCTGTATTTTCCATTTCCATTTACTTTTTTTTTTCATATAATTTATGTAATGCAATAGCTTAAGGTATGTTTCTCTCTGAAAAACAAGAGTTACCAACTGTAGATTCTGAGGCCAAATAAATAGTTCTCCAAGGTATCTCTGTGACTAATACAAGACAACTGGCTTTACTGGGTCGTATGGACAGGTGTTGCAACATTTGTGATGATAAATGATCTTTTGGAAGTTCAGATATTAAGGTAATAATCTATGGGAGGATTATTCCACATGAATAAGCATTTATATTACAACAGGAAAGGACATGCCAAGCTATTCACAAGAGACTTACAGTATTGAAATTATAAATTCTGTATTTCCGTGAGTAGATGATACTATTTAATGTAAAATAAGTTGTATTGAATTATGACAGAAGTTATTAGCTTCTATTGTGAAAGATGATAGGATTTGTATCTAGGGTTTTTATTTGTAAGGACATTTAGAAAGCATTCTAAATGCTCTTACAAATACTTGACTCTGGTATCTTGAAAAATATGAACTAACATGTTTTTATAAAGAGATACAGTTCTTCCTGAAGTTCTTGCTGAATTTCTGTGAATTCCATATAAATCCGAATGCAATAGCATATAGATTTTCTAGTCTACCGAGGAAATAGGAGAGCCTAGCTTAATCAAAGTAATCACACTTCAGTCACAGCAGCCTTGGGGTTTTTGGAATTGTTTAATTGCTAGGCAACTTTTTTGTAGTTAGAGTTTTGGATGTGATACCTGTATTTTTCAGGATTGCAGGTCCCTGACAGGTTAATAAGACGTTAACTCTGCATGGAGGTTTAGATTATGTGAAGCACTGTGGTCATCAAACTGGTTCGTCATCATGGGGACTGACATTTATTTTCTCCACTGGCTTTCTGGACATGTTCTGTATTGTATTAATGCAAATATCTGCATTCTTGGACTTCCAGGATGGGTTGAATGCTTTTTTATATGTACATGGAAAATAAAATTTTAAAGCACTTCTGGAGTTTAGGAACTGAAAATTTTGGTCCCATTGAGAATGGTGTGAAATATGTCTGGTAGCTGGCCTGTTGTGGCAACTTGAAATGTGGATACAGGTAACTCAGAAATCTGATAGACAGTCTTCATATAAAACCTGGAAATCTGATGGTCAGACTCAAGCTGGAATTCACTGCCTGCCAGGTGTAAACTAGAAAGTCTCATCTCTGAACAAACGGACTTCCATTTTATTGCAGGTGTTTTCAAGATAGAGGTGACTTTCTCTGAGGAACTCTCCTTAGACTCTCCTGTGCCAATTCTCAATAAGCAAAATAAAGATTCAGTATTTTGCTTGGCATGATTAGTAAGCTTGGATTTGTGGCATATGTCTGCAAAAATATTTGCATGTTTTTGTTTTATATTATGTCATTGTGAAATGACATATTTGTAACCTGTGCAGTTAGTCAAATGAAGAGTCATGGAGAGCATTTCACTAATAAAATCCATTTATTGTTTCATCTTTGAGTTACTGGGAAAATGTAATTTCTGTAAGTGCCCTGATAGTTAAAGCTAATGTCTGAAAACACAAGAAAAGTAAGTTACACAACATTAAGTATAAACATGATGTGAATTTTGCTACTCCTTCCACAGATGTTTTCCATTAGAATATGTCTGCCACATTCAGACCTATTTTAAGTAAATTCACAAGGAAATGCCTCTTTACATGTTTATCCTGGAAGGGCAGATAGGCGTTTTACTTTATAAAGCAGTCTAAAAGTTTTCTATTCTTCAAATGAAAAAATATTTTTCAGAACATAGTATTGCAGTTTGGTAATGTATTTCTAGCTGCCATTAGAGACACTTAAAATTAAAACACAATAAAATTTGTGAAACAGAAATGACAGTTTCTTAGACATGCTGGTGAAAGGGGGATTTGCCTGCTTAACTCTATATGTAAAAAATTTGTTATATACACTTATACTAATATAAAACTATATACTATACTTTCCTCTTGGTGATCTTGTAAAATGTTACTGCATTGATACTGTACTTTCAGGTTATAATAGATAATCTCTTAAATAACTTGTAAAAAAATTAATGACTTGTTAGCAATTATATCATGACAAATAGGTAGCATCAATAATTTCCAGCAATAATTTTTGGGTTTGGGAAACAGCTTAGCTTTTAGAGACAAAACCCACATCCTGCAAATTCTTTACTTGATACAGAGAGAAGAAAACGGATGTGATTTTGAACAGTTCTATATCTGCATATAGAATACATGGTCACTTCAGAGATAATTTTCTCCCTGAAAAATGTTTAGGATGACAGGAAATTGACAAAAAAGCAGAATACTCATTTGTTCACGTTTCCTGGCTCACCAGGGTCACGATATCACAAGTGGTTGAAAGAAATACATTTGCCTTCTACTCTCTGTACATACAACTGAGGTAGTGCAAGACTAATTTAAATTCTGCAACTGTTTGAATGAAATAAAGTGTGGTGTTGCTTAGACCATCTTTATCAATTGTGTAAGTGTTGCTTTTACATAGTGATTCATTTTTCAACTTCTTTCAGAATACTTTTTAGACTGAAAGGAAATATTAATTATTCAGGAAATGAATAATTTCTTATTATTGGAATTTTTCCATGACATGAAATCTCTTAAAGGAGTGCTGGGAATGTAATTTAACTGAATCTACATTTGAAGTAATTTTGTGAGTAACTAACAAGTCTAAGTGTATTGGATGAATTCTTTTTGTCTGTTTTACTCACTGGCCATGGTTAGCAAAATATGAATGTTTTCTCCCAATAGCATCAGCGACTTCTTGACATTTTGGAAGCAGAAAAGGAAGTGTTAGCAGAAAAGATAGAAGAAGCTATGATGCAGCAGTCGCAAAAGCACAAGGTACTGATTTTATTTACCAAAAAAATAAGAGACCAGCATCATGGAGTTTATTGGGAATGATCCTGTCACGGTTACTGACAGGAAGAGGAGCTTTCTTAAGCACTTTGACAGAAATTATTTTTAGCCACTCCTTTATTGCAGTTTAATTTTTCATAACATTTGCAGGAAGTGCTGGATAAGTGTTTGGAGGAAGAAAGACAGAGAAGCAAGGAGGCTCTGGCTGCTGCTGCAAAGGTATCTCTCTAATTAGTGGACATGCCATGTGGATTCTTTGTGTGTCATTAGAAATGCCAAGTTCAGACACTCACTTTTGTTTCATAACTGTATTTATCAAGCTCTGCGTTCTCATCTGTGCTTAGAAGAAGCTGATTCTACTGAAGATGAACACATCTGCTATATCCTATGCCTTGATGCAGAGAGGTAGCTGCCTTCTCTTGGACAATAGCCTCTGAATTGTTTATAACAAGAAGTCACAAAATCGCAGTTCAGTTGTGGCTGTTACCTAAATATTTGTTTTTGTGGTCCTTTGACATCAGTGTATCTTGATGTGAAGAGCTAGGTGTGAAGAGCTAGGTAGCAGGGTCAACTGATGATCCTTATAAAACAAGTATGTCTCATTTAACTTTCATTGAATATGGCCATCTTCAATGAGGAGAGAACTATTATAAAAATCATATACAATCAGGGACAATTTAACAGGTCTTGAATTATTTTATATAAGCTGATGTTTGGCTGAAAGTGACTATTCAGTCTTTAAATATGTTTTCTCCTATCTATTTCATTATTAAGTGCATTGGTGTTAGGACAATAATTTTGTAAATTTTAAGCTGATAATGGTTGAATATAATGATTGGGGAGAAAATAAAAGAGTACTTCTTGTAGCATGGCTAAGAAGCTTTGGGAGGGAAGACGCATTTGTTTTAACAAATGTATATTGGCTGATTTTCTACAGAAAATGCTCAGTTTTTGCACTATAGATATTTGTAAATAAGAGTGGGAATATCTCTTACATGGATGTGGGTATTCTCAGAGAGAAACGGAAAGTTTCTAACCAGGCAGGAGCCTGAGAAACTGTTGAGAAGAATGTAAATATGGTTCCTTATCTCTGTTGTTGTTCACATTGTTTATAGTTAGGTTGTGCCACTGTATGTCATTCACTGCACACCAATAGGTGAGATATTTTCACTTCAGGACCAATAGGGTTAGTCTGCACGAAGCTCTGTACAAAAGAGCGATGTATTTTGAAATAAATCAGAGTTATACTCTCAGCCTTCTAAACAAAGTCTATTCATTCCCATCCTGCATCAACAGTCACATGAGAATATCACGGGAGGCCCATTATGTGCCTTGCATGAGTTTTGCTACTTTTTTTTTTTTTTTTTTTTTTTTTTTTTTTTTGTATTAAGCAAAATAGTTATGAATGCCTGTGTTTTCAGTAGCTGGAATTTAAGACCCTTCCTGTAACTTCCTTTTCTCCTTTATGTAACTACACAAGTCATTGAGTCATTACTCAGAGGTAATACCTGCTTGGTAGCACTGTAAGATAAATTGAACCTCATAGTTCAGAAAGTGAAAATATTTACATCCCGTATCTTGTAAGCTCATAGCCCTCATTAGAAGAAGGTGATATATATGAATCATTCAGGTTGGCTGTGTTGCTCATCTAATTGTGCCTGGTCTGTTTCAAAGGCTGAAAAAGAAGTAGTGCAGGAAGCTGTTCTGAAAGCAGTAGAGGAGGAGAGGAGAAATATGGAGAAGATTCATGCAGAAGAAAGAAAACTGTGGGAAGCAGAACGTGATAGTCATAGAGAGAAGATTGCCCAGGCTGTTTCAGAAGCCATGCAAGAGCAAAGAAAGCAGAATCAGGTTAGTATATTTTACCCTTCCATGTACCTGCTTCGTGTGGTTTTGGTTTTACTTTTTTATGTCTTCTGTGGTTGTGGGAGATTTTCCTGTGACATCTGTCATTTAGTTGATATTTGCAATGCACAGCAAGCAGTTTATCTTCACCTAGACCGTCTGTATGGAGAGAGGCTGGCACATACAGAACAAAATATAAAGGTACATATATTGAAATGATATAAATCATGCCTGGTTCTGTCCTCTGACTTCAAAAGGAGCCCAGGATGAGCAGCTTAGGGAGTGGTATTTATGCTGTAAAAGTTCAGATGACTTCCATACCTGTGGGAGTGATGTGTAAAGATGTTACATTTGTTCCTTATAGAACAGGTACAAAATAAAGAGAGAGTTACAAAAACTGGAAACGTTAAACCAGTAATGAACCAGAAATGTTTCTAATCATTGGCTTCTATAGTTATGCTTCTATAACAATAAATGTATGTCACTTAACACAAATTGAGAGGGACATGCCCAACTATGCTTTTAGCATTTTTAAAAATTGCAAATTAAATATGTTAAAATTGCAAGTAAATTGCTCTTCCAAAAGTTGCATTTTTTTGGTCTGTGATGCTGGAAATCTTTGGAGGGGCAGCCTGTGAATTCACTGATTTCTTGGTGGCATATTTGAATGTTATAGTCTTCAGAAATTTAAGGAGCATGTATTTCATTGGTGTGTTGGAATTTGATATTTTTTTATGTGCTGCATAAGAAAAAAAATAACCCAAAACTTAAGAATCTGAAGTAAAATAAAAGTACTCTTTGGAAACAGACACCATTTCCCTTTCCAGTGTTAAACAAAATTAATAACCTTCTATACCTAATCAGCTACAAAAGAAAGTTTTGATGTTCTGACATTATCATATTCTATATTGACTAAATTCCTAGTGTAAATACAAAGATTTTATTTTTTTATATCTTTTTTACTTTTAAATGTAAAATATCAAATGGTGAAATTTCCATTTTCAAGACTTTCAGGGAGCCTTCGGGCAGTCAAATTCTTCTTCAGAACAGAAGGATAAACAGATGAGTTCAAAGGTGAATTCAAGCTGAGAACAATTGCTTGGGCTTTAGTTAGATACAAATCATTCAGACTGTCCAGAATGAGAACTGGGGCCGGTGGTGTAGAGAATCTGTTCCTGGAAGGGAGAGAGGTGAAGTGTTCCTTTACTGGAGTAAAGACAGCAATTCTGTAGCTTGTGGAACAGGAAGAGATTAAGAGGAGGTGGGCTATGGTAACGAAGTTTGAGAAGGGTTTTGATGGATGCTGAAGATTTCGGGTGAAAGAGTCCCGTGGCTGGGTGCTGGAGTTCAGCCAGGATTCTGTGTTTATGGATTTGGGGGCACTGGCTGGCCTGGGTGTGGGAGAGATGTGGGCTAAGCTGGGCTAGCGACTTGAGGCAGCTTTGCCTTCACTCTGCAGGGTGCTGCAGATTCTCTCGTGGTTGATGTTGCCTTTGAACTTGTCACCAGACAGGATGATTTTAGAAGTAGTTTAATATGGATGGATATATTCTTTGATAAAGTCATAAATCCGCTGCCATCTCTGCATTTCCCTGAGGAAGTGATTCAGGCCTCTCCAAGGGACAGGTTTTTCCACTCAAGTTTCTTTTAGATCAAGTAGTTCCTAGTGCAGAAGTACCTAGTGATGTACTTGTTGTGGTGCTGAGCAGCACTGAGGTATTGGAGTCTCTTGAGATTAATTCTGTTGTAAATATCTTGCACTTTATGTACTCCTTTAGTAGTGTCATTAGTTAATTCAATTTCTTTTAATACGAAACATCTCTAACAACTTTTATTTTAACAGGAATAATTTCTCTTATTTTATTATTATTATACATGATTATTTCACCTTCATGTCAGCATCATTTTTCAAATACCTGATCTATTTTTAATTAAGGGAAAATGCAGTTTTTCTTGAGATTTCCAAAATTCAATCACATATATCTATGAAGTTACATTCTTTATATGACATTGCACTCTTTATACACAGTATATATGAAGTTACACTCTTTATTCTCTAATTAATAAGTACAAAATCCCTGGGTAGGATGGACTTTCATGGAGAAATTGGCTTCTTGGAGAAATTTTCCCTTCTTCCTGTGCCAAGAACGTGCATATCTCCTTTAAGCCATTGCACTTATAAGCATACACCAAAAAAGCGTATAATTTTCTGTCAACAAAAGAAGTCCTGCAGAGCTGATGGGCCAAATGATTACTTATATGTGGTGTCAGATACAGCTTGGGTTTAACAATGAAAAACTCTTGGGCCTACAAGGCACTTAGTGTGTGGGCAGTAATTTTTTCTGTGTAGAGCCTTCCACAGAGAGTCGTTTCTTATTTATGTTTTGTTTTCTAAGATTTGCCTTACAAAAGCTATAACTGCACTCTTGACTCTTGTAGTTATTGTTTAGGCAATATATTAAGTCAGCTCTGTAAAGGCCAAAATGCAAACACAGAGTCTAACATTTTAGACAATGAAATGTAAAAAATCCTAGAATAAAATTGTGTTTTGCTGTAAATTGTTTCAAAGAGATTTGCTTTATTGATTTGAACTAAAACAGGAATTAAGCATAGTATTAAAGGGAAGGACTTTTCCTTCACTGATGCAGTAAATCTCCAAATGGGAAGATCACAAAGGGTCCATCTGGTCTTCTGCAAACAGGTGAGGCAGAATGGCTTCCAGTCAAAGTGCCCATAAATAAACTCTAGAAATAATTAATGGAAAAATTCAAAAACATTGAAAATTTTATTATTTTCTTCAAAATGCAAACCCATAGAGAAAAAGGCATTTTCATCTGTATGGTGCAAGAGTTCATAAAAGACAGATTTTAAAAACTGTAACATCACTGTTTAGCTGTAAAATATTTAGATTATGAAAGAGGAAAAATAATTTTCCATGTAAAAGTGGAATAAATTTGTTGGGTTCTCCTTTACCCTCTAGACCAGAGAAACATGATTAGGAGTTTTGAGTCATTGGTTTAAAAGAGTAATTTGCCATCCATTAATTTTCTTTATTAAAATAAAATATGTTGTTTTTTTCCACCAGTTTTTGAACACATGCACTAGAAGTTATATGACTACATAGGAGAAAGCAAATGGAAAAAAACATTAAAGTATGGGTTGTTTACATTTCATTGGTTAGGCAGTTTTAGCAGAAGAACAACAAAGGTTTGAAGATCACATTTGTGCTATATTAGGCAGTGAAATTTTCATTCATCACCTAAATAATTTGTTTAAAAGAAGAAAAGATTAATGTTTTCTTTGCAGGGATGATACAGGTATTGGTTTAGACTTTTTTGGTGGTGGTGTTGCAAAATGGCCAGGAAGGAGATCCAGAGGGGATCCAAATCTGGAAGGTTGATGCAGATGCCTTCTACTTGTGAGATATTCATGCTTGACAAAACTTTGTCTTAAAAAAAATATTTGTCCTCAATCAAATTGTTGTCAAGTCTGCAGACAGGGAAACACTACTTGCATTTAAAATTTATTATACTAATTTAACATTGCCAGAGAAAAATTGGAAGACTTAGATACAGTTTAATAAAGAAATCATATTTAATATCAAATCTTTTGTTACCAAATATGAAACAGCCAAGTTAAGATAAACCTACAGTCAAAGTAGGAACTAAAACATACTGAGTTAATATTTCAACTTTATGGAGCAACTTTGACATACCACCTTCCTTGCTTTTTCTTTAAGAAATTAAAGGATTACAGTAACAGGAATATTGTTTTGGGATTTTTTTAATGGAAGCTTTTCATGAAAGCTTTGACTGTTCCAGTGACTTGGGGTCTACTTAGAGACATGGTATTTGTACTTAAAGGTATTATTTTTGAAGCCTTATAACTCTAAAGGGACATATGAGATATTTTACATCACCAGGGAAATGGAAAAATGGTTTTTAGTTCATGCTCTCAAGGTTGTGAAGTAGTAAAAGTCCAGATGACTTCCATTTTGATTGAGACTGGCAGCATCTTCAGATTTTATAATTGTGTTTTTCAGATGCTTCATGCTTTTATAAGAGGCTTTTTGTGGATTTTTGGTTGTTTGTTTTTTTTTTTTTTTTAAATTTAGAAGAGCATTCTCAGTTTGGGGGAAGAGCAAGCTTGCATTTTAAATCACAAAGAACAAGCTCTCCTTCAAAAGAACTAGTAGTCTTCTGATTAAAGATAATGTTCATTTGCACAGGAACTTCATGATCCTCTTACAACACATTGAAAAGTCATCATAGATTAGGAACTCATCTATTTAACAGACTAGATGTAGCTTGGCATGTCTCCAGTATTTTCTTTTCTATTTTTTCTGGTGTTTTTTTACAGTGGCATCTTCCCTGCAAGGAGAGTTTAACATCTGGTAGTTGTCAATGTTGAGAGTGGTGAAATTCCTCCACCAGAATTTTTTTTTCTAGAACACCTATTTCAATAAAAAAGTGGGTATCCTCTAGATAAGGAGGAACTATAAGAGGCAGTGTGGCTGAGGCAGAAGCTTTTTACCCCAGAATCCAAAACTGCAGTGAAACTCCTGGGGTACGACTCTACACTGAAAAAACAATAGACAATTCTCTCTATCGTTCTTTACATTTATTTTTACTCATTGAAAAAACTGAAGTCCAAAAATTATTTGGGGATATAGGATGATGATATCCATACAATTTGGAACAAAAGCTGATGTATTAAATTAATAATTAGTGGGGAATGAAGAGTAGCTCCCATAGCTATAATGCACAGAGCTCTCTGCATGGCAGTTGTTATAATTTTACAGAGCCAAATACTCAGCTACACAAAGGAGGTGAAATCCATGGTGATGTGCAAGAGAATTAGCAAAAGAAACAGAAGAGAATTTATGCACCACTATTTTTGTTTTAAAATAAATTCATTAAAAGTAAAAGGAAAGCTGGCAGCTGCAGGGTGAGCCCTGGAAATTTAAGTCCATCTCATAGCTTGAAATAAATAATTTTGCTAAGGCA